TAGGTCAAGTCGTCTCTACTCATCACCGAGGGCCGACTTGACTAATCTTCCAAGCCCACTTAATCGGTTCACGCAAAAAGGGAAACAAAATAGGACTCCTTAATAGGCCTTAAAACCTTTCCTTATTTCACAAGGTTTTGGGCCTCAAGGTACAACTTAATTAAACCTTTATCAAACTTGATGTGACTTAGTATCTAGTGCACCAATCTAAATAGGAAAACATAACAAGCCACATTTATGGTGGAGAATTTGTTGTAAACCTTAGAGCAAAGACATGCTCTTGTAGGAGGTGGAATTTATGTGGAATACCATGTCCCCATGCAATCTCAGCAATATTTCAAATATGTGAAAACCCAATTGCTTATGTGGATGATTGTTATAAGCCTAAGACTTATATGAAGGCTTATGAACTAGTGATTCACCCCATCCCTTCAATGGACCAATGGAGTAAATGTGGCCTTCCTCCAATTAAACCTCTATTTAGGACAAAGGAGCCTTGTGAGGTTGAAATACCATTCCCCATCCCACCAAACCCTAGGCCTCCAAATTATATTGCCCCACTAACGAAGCTTAGAAGGGATTTCATTCAAATAAGATGTCGTGGATGCGGTCAAAGAGGCCATAATAGAGCAACATGTGATAGACAAAACAATGAAAACCAATAGGTATAACTGTTAGACACCTTGTTTACTTCTATGTTATGGCGTACTTACATTAATAATTTTCTTATACATTTGCAGGTTAATGCATCTTCAGCCCAAATAGAGCAAGGTTCTTCTTCACAACCAGTACAAGCTTCTTCACAGCCAGGATCTAGCACAGTCAGAGGGAGAGGCATAAGTAGGGGGAGAGACGTAAGTGGAGGAATAGGAAATGTTGCTCAAGCTACTGCTTACCCAAATTCACAACAAAGTGTAAGCTTTGGTTGCTCTTGGGGTTTTAAATTGCATAAGTCATTAGACAACTGAAATCATTAATTTTTTTTAGATGGCAAGAGGTAATGGACAAGGAGGCAGAGGCACAAGTAGAGGAAGAGGCAATGTTGCTCAAGCCACTGTTTACCCAAATTCACAACAAAGTATAAGCTTTATTTTTTCAACCATTCAATTTTTTATTGCTTTAGTCATTCGAAAACAATAAACATTAGTAACTTTTTCAGGTGACAAGAGGTAATGGACAAGGTGTCTTACCATCTTCACATATTAGTTTAGGAAGAGGTTTACCATCTTCAAAGCTAAGTGCAATTAGAGGAAGAGGCTTAGGAAGAGGCATAAGTAGAGGAAGAGGCTTGCCATCTTCATAGCCAAGTGTAAGTTTTTGTCATTTGGTTCAATTCTTACTCATTTGACTAATTAACCCATTTTCAACTATTCACACTTGACATTACTACATTGTTTAGGTGGCAAGAGGAAAGGGACAAGGAGGAGCAGATTTGGACAACATTTCCCATGATAATAACATGGCCTGAAAATAGAGGAAATTATTGCCAATGGTGTCATATGTTGTGTATTTTGGGATATGTACTTTTCTAGGCAGGGGGATTTTATGTAATTGGTTCTGAGACAGTGTTTGGATTGTGTAATTGGTTTTGAGTTTGAAGGGCTAAAACTGTGTAATTGCTTGCCTATTTTGGGTTAGGTACTTTTCTGGGCAGCAAGATTTTGTGTACTTTGTCTAATTGCTTTTGAGCTAGAAGGGCTTAAACTGTGTAATTGGTTGTGTATTTTGGGTTATGTACTTTTCTAGGCAGGTGAATTTTGTGTCCTTTGTCTAACTGGTCTTGATTTTGAAGGGCTCAAACTCTTTAATTGGAATGTTTATATGGATGTTCATTTTGTAAATTGCCCATGTGGTCAACAATGGAATGGCTTTTAATTTGTTCTACTCATTGGAATATTAAGTTATGTGCATCTCCCAGATATTCAAATAACCCCAATTCAAGAAAATTTGAGAACACTAATGGACATTCATTCGACAATTGAAACAAAGTCTTCACCATTACAGACGTCCTCGCCATTACAATTGAAACAGAAGTCTTCACTATTACATTCAAAGAAACAAACCCCATAACAATTAAAACTTCCCACTCATCACAAATGTTATAAACAAACCCCAAGAAAAAATCAAGGAAACCTACATTATCAATTGTCTTTGCCCATGAGCCCATTCCAAAACCCTTTTTTTCCTGAACCATTTTTTTCAATTTCTATTGCAATTCTTTCTTTTTTGCTTCCACGGATCTCAATTGTTCTTCCATTGCTCTACCTTCCTCCTTCATTGCTCTAAGTCTTCTAAGAAAATCAGGGACCACTTGTTTTCCTCTTGGACAAGTTTCATTATCCACCCACTCGAAAAAATTCATACCTCTTCTGCTATTATGGAAATCAAATCTTACCTAATTTCAGACCTCACCAAGCAATTACAAATGGAAAAGAACAACTTTTGCAACCCAAATAATAACTTACCCAATTTTTATCACAAGCATCAAACTTTCTTCCCGGGTTCAAATCTATCCACGAAGTCCGACGAATTATCCTTGTCACACAAGCGCAATACTGACTTGTGCCACTTGAGGTCGTTGAAATCTCCAACATTGCAAACCTAGGGTTCTAATTTGGGGGTTTTGGTGGAGCTTCTAACATAAATGGGAGGGTATGCATTCCTACGTTGGCTTCGTCCAGTGGCGAAGCCAGGATTTCATGTGTGTGGGGGCCTCTTACAAATTATAAAGAATCAAAAATTCAAACTCACAATACATACGAAAAATAGTATATATATATGTCACATATGTTAAGAATTATATTGCTTATTGGTTGCAATCATAATTGTCCTCAACAAAGGAATAGAAAAATACATTTTGAGCAAGAAAAATTGCAAGAGATAGACAAATAGTAGCGATTTAGCAAATATCTTTAAAGCTTTTCCCCCAATTAAACCCAATAGAAAGAAAAAATCAAAATTTAGGTCCCTTCATGCATTCATATCATACATGAAAAAATATTTTATGTAAAAATATTGACCAAGTATGAAAAATAGTTTGTCGGAATAATCATTTTCTCAAGATAATTTTTGGCGGCTTTTATTCCTTACACATCAAATAAGAAAACTTGATTTTATGGGATTTTAGTATGAAGTATATATTGACTTAATGAGCCATCATTTTTAGCCTAAATCGTATTTTGCACTAAAACCGAATTTTCATATTTTGATTTGGTAGGAATTTGATTTTCTAGTATTTTTATTTGAATCCAAATAGGGGGTACTTCCTTATTTAATTGTAAACTTAAGTAAATGGAGTAATATAAAAAATAAATTAAAGTAAAAGGAGAAAGACATTTACTTAAATGTTGAAAATGGAAATAAGGTAATCTGTATACCTGGAGTGCACCACTACCAGCTAAGCAAATGGGAAATTTGAAGCACCTCATTATACCTTAATAGGTCCTCCACAACACATGTGGGTACATATCAAAACATACAGTATTTGAAATAATATACATGTACAAATACATAACAGTATATTACTTTTAAAATATTAAAAAATTGAGTGGGGGACCGTGACCACACAGGTCCCAATGTTGCTCCACCCCTGGCTTTGTCGATTTAGAGGAGGGTACTCACCTAAAAATACGATTTTGTCCCTCGATTTCATGGAATAATACATAGACTTTGACGGTAGGACCATCTTGATACAAAATAAAGAGTTTAATGACGTTTCAAATGAAAATTTTAGTTGGTGGACCGAAATGATACTGGAGCAATAGTTTGGGGACCATTAAAGTCATTAACCCTTCAAGTAAATAATTGGGGGAATAAAGTCGTTATCTATTTCCCAATAAATGAATAAATAGAATTAATATTCATATAGATAATTAAAAATGGATAGGTAAAGCCCCCAAAGTTTTTTGTTGGACTTTTAGAGAGGCGATAACACTACACAGATGTTTAAGACTTGAACCCAATATGTTTCTGGGGGAGTAATTACTCCAAACCACTATACTAGTGGATCCTTTCTCCACCCCCAAAGTGCTTATTTAACCAAGTTTGCAGCGTAAATCCCACCGGCCATGCGAACTTTTTCGAAACTGCCAAGTTAGGAGCGGATGTAGGGGCCTCAGAAGACGAACCAGAACTCAAAGAGGGAGAAATCTCAGCAGAGCTAACAAGGGAAAATGAGGGAGGAGAAGGCGGAGAGTCAGCTTCGGGCGCAGTAGGACCAGCCTTTGGTGGAGCGCTCGATGGAGAAGGGGAAGGTGAAGCCTTAGATGGAGCAGCACTCGATTGAGAATGTGCATGAGACTTGCCAGGTGATGATGCATGGGATTTTTCCGTTGTTGAGACCAGCAAGAGGGAAGCCATTAGCACCAAAACAACACTACTGAATCGACCCATTGGAGAGAGAGAGAGAGATGGGGCTTTGGGGGGGTTTAAGAGGCAAATGAAGTAGCCAGCCAGGGATGGGTTTTATTGAGAGAAGATGTTGCGTTTTATAAAGGGATGCTGAGGAGGCTTGGCTTGTAGAACAATGGTCTGTTGAATAGTGAGAACTAGTTTGAACGGTGGAGATTTCTCCAAGGTGGATTTGGTTGGAGCAAAACGTGGATTGTTTGTATATTGGGGTGCTTTTCCTAGCTGTTGTATGTATAGTTGAAGTTGATAATGTAACGGTTAGTTTCCATAAGTCCTAACAAGTTCCTCCTAATTTATTGGTCATTCTTCTTCATCATTTCTAAATTTAAAAGCATTCATCATTGACCATAACAAGATCCAGTACTGACCATTAAAAAAAATTCATTATTGTTACAACATCTAAAAGAGAGAGCTGCTATTTCCACCCCCTATCCTATTTCCCCACCCACTTTATTTTCAAAACTTTAAATACAAATTTACCCCTTCGTAAAATGACTTCTAAAGACTTAGTGCATGTTTGGCATTGCTTATTTGGGGTGATAAGTGATTTTTTAAAAAATTTGGGAAGCCCAACCTGTTTGGTAAACTATGAGAAAATCACTTATTGTTAAAAATTGTTGTGAGAGAAAGCTATAGGGGAAAGCAGCTAATGAAGTGCTTTCATTTTCTGATTATGCGGGAATCAGTTTCGAAAAGACGCTGAGTTCAATGATTATGCGGGAATTAGTACCAACAACACTTTTAACAAAAAATTTATCAAATGCCAAACTGTTTTCTCTTACAGCTGATTTCTCTCACAGCAAATCTTACAGCGATTATTTTCACAGCACAGCAATACCAAACTGGACATAACCCACCTATTCTTTAAAAATAATTTAACTTTTAAATTTTTAAAACCAAAAATAAAAATCTCGTAGCCGAGCAACCCCTCTCTCCCCCCAACCACCTTCTCCGACCCACCCCACAATCTTCTTCTCTCCCCCTCTCTTCCCAGACGCATCCGTTTCACTCTTGTGCTCAATGCTCACACTCAAGCAAAGCTTGTACAGAGAGAAGAGAAATCCGGTTTCTGGCGTCTCACACCAAGGTATATTGGAATCACTCTAATAATAGTGTAGGGTATCTAAGGCTTCAAAAATTTCCTATAATGGTCCGCAACAATTTTATTGCGACCATATGAGGAAAGGGTATCAATTCCTTATAAATGTATAAAACTTCACCCACTGTTATGTTTTTTGGAAATAATTTATTTTTATATTAATTCATTTTAATGTAGCCTTCCTTCATTCTGTTTTCTTTTAGACGAAATTCTCATTGTCATATTTGATTTTATGGTATGATTGTTCACATAATGTCACATGCTTTTTTTAATTTGTAATGGGTTTCACTCATATTTTCATATTATTAATTATGCTGAGTAATTATATCATGCAATCATCGTATTGACATGGTATAATGCATTAGTCGAACAAATATACATATATAGTAGAAAACATAGATACGCGACAACAAGGTGACACTCATGTATTTTTATGAATTTCAATACATCACGACTTTTCACTGAAAAAGAAAATTAAATATAGATAAATATTCATTTAAACAATTAAAACAACAAATGTATATAATGATATGGCAAGAAAATTTTATCAAAAATTTAAAAAAAATCATGAACTTATGATTTTGCACCAATTGTTCCCCAATTGGATTTTTAGTGGATGAGTGTATTGTGCTTGAGACTTGCAATAGAATTAGCCCCGTTGTATTTGAGACCGTCGAGTCTTGGAATGTTGGCTTAAGACTGATTGATCTTGAGATATGAGCCAATGCATATTACCATTACGTCTTGGGCCATCAAATTTTGTAATTTGATATTGGGCCTGTAGCTGTTAGTGATTTGTTAATGAGTTGAGTCCTCACAAGCCTTTAACTTTGTTGATCACGTCTGAGCTCAAGGCAACAATGCACATGGCCTACCAACCTGCGAACTGAAGTCTTTTGTGACCTCTTGCTATTTTGTTTGTTTATGTCTTAATCGTCTTTTGAGTCTCAATTTTTTGCAGGTGGCGTTGGAACAGAAGGGAACAATACCACTTCCTTCTTACTTTCACGTGGTGGGTTCACCACCACAGGCTTCTATTTTTTTTCTTTTGTTTACCCTCAGCGAAACATAATAACCCAAAGGTCTGATTTTGGATACTGAGAAAGAATTCCTCTTTCTTTTTTATTATGTGGGTCCATGAAGTTCTCAGACTTCACTTCATACCGCACAATTTTATTGTCCCGCTAACATAAGAGGAACCCAGAAAACTCCAAGTCTTTTAACGGCGCTGTGAAACATAACAATCCCCACGGATTGAACTTGCTGTTTTGGATGATGAAGGCATCAGTGAGAGAAATCTCAAGATCTTGTTGTTTGAGATGCTTGAAGGCATCACAGAGAGAGACCCAACAGTCTTGAACGGAGCGGAGCCAAGGGTGGATCCACATAGGAGCGAGAGGGGTCAATTGATCCCTGCAAGCTCGGAATTCACAATTGGAGGTGAAGATGTTGACCTCTGCAAATTACCCACAAACTGCTTGATGAAATGCTCCTGACGTCAAAATGACAAAATTGTACAGATTACTTTATTTCCATTTTCAGCACTTAAGTAAATGTCTTTGTCCTTTTACTTTCATTTATATTTTACTCCATTTACTTAAGTTTACAATGTAAATAAGGAAGTACCCCCTGCTTGGATTCAAATAAAAATACTAGAAAATCGAATTCCCACCAAATCAAAATATGGAAAATTGATTTTAGTGCAAAATACGATTTAGGCTAAAAATGATGGCTCATTAAGTGAATAAATACTTCATACTAATATCCCATTAAATCAAGTTTTCTTGTTTGATGTGTAAGGAATAAAAGCCGCCAAAAATTATCTTGAGAAAATGATTATTCTGAAAAACCATTTTTCATACTTAGCCAATATTTTTACATAAAGCAATTTTTCATGTATGATATGAATGCATAAAGGGACCTAAGGTCAATCCAGGTAAAAAGCCTTAGATGTTTAATCCAAAACAAGTTTTACAAGAATAACCTAACTCTTATGTATTAAAGAAATATTTGCTTGAATAAGCTCCCCCTAAGAGAGTACTCGTAAGGGTCCAAAGTTTGAGAGCTAGAGCCCAAAAGAAATGGAGATAAAGCCCAAAATCAAAATGACGACGTACATGACGTAAATGCCCTAAAATGAGCAGGATTGCACTAATATATGCCAGGTATTACGTCGAATAGAACGAGACGCCTTGGGAGGCGAAGATGATTTTGCTAATTTTTTGGTTTATTATCACATTCTTAGAGATATTTCTGGTTTATTTTACTGTGTGTCTATTTTTTGAAGTTGATGCAGTTCTCTTTGATAATGAACATGAGTATTTTGTATAGTTTTATCTATTAACTATGAATTAGAATATTATCGTTTCATTTCGATGGGTCTATGTTGTATAGAATTTTTTTTAACCTTTTACACATTGACCCCTAGAATGAAAATTCCTGGATCCGCCACTGAGCAGAGCCACATCTTGGAGAGGATTCCTGACTTTATTTATGATGATAGAAGTCATCAGAACTAGCAATCCTTATGGATTAATTGAGCATTGGATGTTGAGTGCATCCACATATGTATTTGAGTGGAGCCTTGACTAAGAGATTCCTGACTTTGTTCATGATGATAGAAGTCATCATAGCCGGGCATCTTCATGGGTTGTGTTGTGATTTTAAACAACCTGAAAATTTGAGATTATAAAGATTAGTCTAAACACAAATTATACTCGCAAGTGCACAAGGTCAATCGTAATATAGCATGGCAAATACGAGGTCATTCCCACGAGGATTGAGTTCAACTTCCAATTAGTCTAACCTAATTTCCTTCACAAAATACTTTACTACTCTAATTATATAAACAAGAAATTAAACACGTAGCATACTCACGTAAATACAAAAGGGGTTTTTGAAAGAATGATTTAATTAACAACGAAATTAAAAGACAAAATAAGTAGAAAGTCACGAAACACAAGGATGAGAAATTCAAATTGATAAAAGCACTAGGACAATGAATTCACCACTAGTAATCCGATCTAGCCTCATATTCACCTACCTATTTACTAACCATTTGATGTCGCCGCTTAGTTTTCCTTTTTCATGAATTACCTATGGTATTTAGGCTAACTCGTATATTCCTACATGCAATTCGCCTATGGTATTTAGGTCAAATATCAACACATAGAAACTCATTAAGATCAGTGAAAACCTTGAACAATGTAAACCCTAGGAGTATGGTATTTACCCTAGACGAATTACAAATCCTAATCACATGAAGCAAGCCTCAAATTAAGTATGGTATTTACTCTAATTTGCATCCGATTACTCAATTAAAAGTCTAGATGGTGATCAAGCATCAAGATAATCAACCAAGTTATTAAGCACAGTGATTAAGAATCCAACATCAAACGGCAATCAATAGATACTCCCTAAGGAGTTGTTTCTCATGCTTAAATAGGACACCCCACGTCTATTCCTACCCTAGCTGGGCTTTTACAGTAGCCCACAATAAAGAAAAACCTAATTAAAACATAAATCCAAAATGGTAAGTACTTGACTCCTCTTCCTACTTGGACTGGGATAACATGTCAGTTACTTTGCTTGCACGTTTGGGGTTGTTCCTCCTCCAAGAAAAATCGGGAAAAATATGTAAATTGTAGATTTTTGTCTTATCTTTCCATCCATATATCGCACGCCTTGAGGAAAAATCAGGAAAGTCTTCAAATGGTCATTCTTCCACAACAGCACAGTTTTGACGGGATTGCATCTTATGCTGACTTAACTTCAAAGACTGCTCTCATTGGCTGCTCCGAAAATTCTAGAAAAATTCCACAATCATCTTCAAGATCTTAGCTTTCATCTC